AAGTAAAGATTTGTTTGAAAAAAGCTTATTTACTAAAATATCGTTTTGTTTTGTGTTCTTGAATTCCCCTATATAAACCATTGAATGTAGGGCGGAAACAAAGAACTGTAAATTCTAATACATTTTCAACAGATCTATAATTCACTTCAAACTAAATCAAGAAATATTTCATCTTTCAATTTAAAAAATAAAATCAGTGGGAAAAATATTTTCAATAGTAGTTTTCTTGCAAAATAGACAGTCATTTTTATGAAATTCTGTGATGCAAGAGTTATCTCCCGTAGCATCGGGAAATCATCTAAACATCTTACTATCAAAACCCCTGTGAGAAATTTAGAACTGATACGCTAAAGAATATCATTCAACCAAAAATAATTGGTTTATTTTCAAAAACGGAACTAATTTTCACCTCCAATCATAATATTTAGTCTAAAATTTGCTTTATTATTCAGGTTGAAACCAAGTTTCCATTGATGTATCAGTGACGTCAAATACCTATCTAATATTGCGTCACAATAGTTGCAAATATTCCGCGGAAGTTGGTAAATTTATGTAAACGTGCAAAGAAAAAGATTTTTAAAAAGTTACGTTAAATAATTTCTCTTTTCTGTCCAATTACTTTTCTGAGTGCATTAAATAATATTGTTATCCAGAATGTATTTTATTCACGGGCGGTGCCTCAGATATAGATGTTTTAAAACAAGTCAGTATTGATAAGTAGTTTTATACATGTACAATACGTCTTTACAGTAATCATAATAGGATTAAATTGATAAAATTTGGATGTGAAAAGATTAAGGATTATTTCTTATTATTCAGTAATAATGAATATTCCAAATTTACGCAACATTAAATTCAGCAAAGTCGAGATGTGCACTTCATGAAGTGTTGTTAATATTTGAATATGTTAACTTAATTGCAGTAATATCAAATATCAGCATTATACGACTGTCGGACCGAATAAGTTTTAACAGTTGTAAGAACGGAAGTACTCGTCACATCCCACTTCAATAATATTAGCAATGGTTGTTTACTATTAGTGTCGGTGGTTCAGATTCTGTTTAGACTTTATTTTTTTAAAAATGTAAAATCTGAAATAGAAAAAAAGTTATAGAAATCTATAAATTTACTAATTAATGAGGAAAATGTTGCCAATTCTACTGCTGGATGCCCCACTTCAAGCTGACACTAAGAAGGCAGATGAGTCAATGGAACATTTTTTTTTATTTTCGTTTTTAAAATTTGACAATTGTTCCACATATCCTAATACTTTATATTGAGTAAAAATAAGTCAGTAGGTTGGTAAATTTCCAAAATATCTCATTATTATCAAACCAGTTACAAAACGGATGCCGCCCAGAGGAAACCCCCCCCCCTTTTCTTTCGTGCGATCATTTCTGGGCTCTGTTATCATGATTATATGTATGTAAGTGTACAGGTTTTTTCTTATTTATTTCAAATTAAATTTCTTAGAGCATGAAATATTCCTTAATATGATGAATGAATGAAAAAAATTGGATTAAAGCCGAGGCTGTACACATAAAAAAAATACTTGCTGGATTAAAGTACGTGCATGTATAATTTCGCCACTGCAGGACTATTTTTTTTTTTTTTTTTTTAGATTTTCTTTTTTAGTCCAGATAATTTAGAAAAATATTTTCCTTGGAAATGGGATATTTTATTAAGCTTTAAATTTGCTATTAATTGTTACATGAAATAAATATCTTTTTAAATAGGTGTGTATCAAGATATATGTAATCTATGGATAAAATCATCTAAAACATGTAACTCACAGAAAAGAAATAAAATACAGACATTTTCCTACGATAAAATACAACGAAGAGCCGATTTTAGAAAATATTTCTAATTTTTAATATAGAAACCAATCCCGATTGAAATAAAACCGATCCCGATCGAAATTAATGCAAAATTATTAAGTTATCAAATTAATGGTAATTGCCACCTAGAAAACATGTTTAAAAATAAATCAAGTAATTTGTAAACCATATTAAAACAAAACAACCAAGTTTCATGATGAAATCATAGTAGCTTTCTTCTTTATATAATTCCGGTCGGGATCGGTTTAATTTGGATAAATTTATAAAAAGTAGATAATTTGACGCGTCTTATTTCTCTCAATATACCTGTTCCCACCAATTTTTTAAATTGATTCAACAATTTGTACTTTGTATTCATAATAACATGAAGAGAAAGTTTTGACATTTAAATGTATTGGATTTTAGAACGTAATGAAAATTGGATAGTGAATTCATAAAGTCACTTGCTTAACTCAAATTTAGACCACATAATTTTTTTCTAAAGATATATAAATTGGTGTCTTATTCATTGATATTATAAAAGATAAGGGTTTATACTATAAATAATATTTATTGACATATCCAGTTTTTGAGTATCTGCTTCAAATAAAACAAATCAAAAACGTAGTAAATTTTTAACCAACTTGTTGACCTTTTTGCACTTAAAATTAAGCACTTACCAAAAATAGGACTAGAGGAACACTAAAAAAATTTGATATTGCCATGTGTAAACATTTGCTTTAATAAGTCTACACGCAAAAAATAATTAAAATCCATGACATGCGATGTGCCACCCATTGCCTGGTTTTTTGGTGGACTGCCTCTTAAGACCCTTAGGTTATCCTCTAATGTACCTGCATACAAATATACGGCAGTATCCATTAAATAGGAAATGAACGGAAAATATATGAAGAAAATCATAAAAAGGACATTGTATCTAAATTAATGGCCTCTTAAAAATCTGCCAAAAATATTTTATTTAATTTTAAAATACATTTCTTCGTTGTGAAAATATTACTTGATCCGCCTCTCACTGCTTACAAACTGCGTCAAGTTTTACAGAATGACGTCATATCGACAAGCGCAGTGCGATCAGTGACTTGTTTAAACCTTGCAAAGTGGGAATTAACAACAAAAACACATGTTATAATAAGTTTTGATGTAGTTAAATCATCTCCTACAGTTTAAAATTGCAAATCACCTCATTTTTGGGTATTTTTAAGGGTTCATAGTTTTGTGTGATGTCATAGTTAACATTTCCCGTAAAAATTAGGCCCCGCCTCCTTTTTGTAGCCTTAACTGTGCTGCGAATTTCAATTTATTGTCTTACATTTCATTCACTTGAAACATTCCCGTTTTAATATTGTGTTAGATTTGAAATACAACAAAATAATGATTATTTTCATTGTACATTTTTTTATTATTTCTATAAAAAAAAAAGTTTTTTAACATTCAAGTTCAATTTCTTGAAAACTGGTCTGTACTAAAATCTATAAATAGAAAATACAAATGATTATCAATGTTATGCAATGAAAAATTGAAAGGAAATTTGATCAAAAATGTTGATTCAGAAGTTCTGGTTTCTTCAGGGTTTGACACTAACTTTTTTACCTTGGTGGACCGCAGGTCCACTGGTCAAGAATTTTTGGTGGACTTTCTCAAAATCTGGTGGACCTTCATTAATGTTTGAATTTTTGTTGAATAAATTTATTCCATGCTCTTCAGGCTCATTAAATGCAATTAATATGAACACATATTACCTTTTACTTTACTAAATTTATTTCATTTCACTACATCATCATTTCAATTAGCATAGCATAAGATTTTTTTGTAGTTCTATCAAGTCTTTTCTACTTAAAGCAGATTCAATATCATCATCATCATTATCATAGCACTCTAAAGATGCAATCTGAATCTCATCAGCCTCGTCTCCGTCTTCCTCTTGCACTTCCTCCTCTTGCCTCCTGCACTGCTTCAACATCCCCATCCCTACTCACCGTCATCTTTTCTCTTGGAATACAGCTTTTCTAAGAATGATTAACATGAATGCATATAGCCAATATTTACATGCAAAAGCTGAAATACAATTCCAAACCAACAAAATTAGCAACTTATTAAATAACATTTAGTTCATCTTTGTAAAAAGGTCTCCTTGCCCTCTCTCCCCCTGCATACCTCAAATGAATTGCAGGAAGGGGATCAAACTGATCAATGGTTTCTACTTCCAGGGAGACTAGCATTAAATCACTCATATTTGCTTCACCCAGTCTGGATCTCCAATCATTTTTCACAAGTTTCATACTGTAAGATGATGAATTATTTATTTTTAAATTAAAAAAACTTCAAGAAGAAACTTTTAATTTATTGTACAAATTAAATTGGAATTTACTGGGAGAAGCCTCTCTCTGCAGCAACATGATCCTGGTAGTGTCAGCAAATAATCAATGAAATGAAAAAAGTTTGGATAGTCACTTCCAAAATCCTCATAAAATCGTTTCCAGGTTAGACTTGAGATTGACCTGAACATAATTTCATCAAATAAAATATAAATCTCAAAATAAATATTTTGAAATGAATACCTTTGCCAAAGAAAAACGTACTTACTATTGAACATAAGACAAACCTGTATTTTATCAGAGATGTTTTAAGCCGTGTCCATTCAAGTTCTATCCCCTCGATGTCAATAGAAGGACAACATGCCTCTAGGGCTGATCTAGCAGATGTAACAAGTTGTTGCGAATTTTCATCCCCAAAGTCTTTATTTCAATAAATATATGAAAAAAAATTATATGGTTATTTTAAATTTAACCCAAATGATAAATAAATGTACATCAATTTGTATATTCCTAGGTAACTTCCAAAATTGTATCATGAGAATGTTTTACCAGGATCATTACTCATATGTGATGGCCATTTCTGAATTAGTAGAATAGACGATGCACTAAACATAGAGAAATCACCAGCAAATCTATTATCGATACTATTTATCAAGGAGTCAAGCAATTTGTTTTTTCTGCCTTCAATGACATGCAAACTGTCTTCAGCCACCACCCTCAAGAATGGACCATTACTGTGTGTGTTTAATTTAATTTGAGGAAGAAAGCAGGTTAGCTATAGAGTGGTGCAGATTATAGCAACTATTCTACAATAGCAGGGAATAATAGCTGAGATACATGCAATATTTCAAGTAAATAAATTACTGTTACAAGCACTACAAAAAGCAAATCAGAGATAAGCAAGGTGGATAACAGGTTAAGTGATTAAATGAAGGTTTTCAGCTACGTGCAATACACATTAAATCTATGATTTTATACCTTCTCTTGAACTTGTTCAAAATTGCTTTTGCGCTGTCTAATTCACTGTAGATATCGGCAATGGTACTCTGTTGATCCTGAATCTTCATAGAGACGGCACCGAGACTTTTGACCACATCCATCATAAAGTGTAGCCATAAAATGACACTTTTATCCTTCAGAAGTTTCAAGAAGTTTCGTGCTTTGGCACTGGATTCCTTGGATGGATTCTGTTGCATCTAGTTTAGATAGGGTATATATGATTGTGAAAAACACAATAAAAAATTCTCTTAATATTCAAATTAATATAAATACACATGTCCATTAACTACTACACAGTATGTGAGGACAAAACAACAAACTTGAAAGATACAGTGTACCTGTTCGAGGTGAAGCACAATGCCATCATATCCAGTGATCACATGCTTCAAAGCCCTCTCAGTATGGGGTAACCACCTTGTTCCACCTACACGGGTTGGGACCAACATTTTTTTCCCAATAGAATCAAATGCTATTTTAAGGTTTGCTCTATTCAGTGAACTATATCTAAATCCCCCCCCCCCCCCAAAGGGTTTTTTTTTAATTTCATCACCCTCATAAAATAATTGTTTAATTTAGACTACTTTCTAAAATTAATTGAAAAACTCCTCTTACTTGTAGAATAGATATAAGTTTAGAAGAAGTAGTTCACACTTCTTATGTATTGGAATATCTTTGGTACCATCTTTGTATGCCAATTCAAACCTTGAAAAAAGACAGCAAAGCATTTGAAACTGGATCTAATAACTAAATAATTTACATACATATCATTATATCAATGTAAATTGTAAAATGAGCAAAAACATAAAGATTTGTAGAAATCACCTGTGTGCTGAGCAGTGTATCCCTTTAACAAACGGACGTTCTGTCATGTCACTGATCATCCTAACCACACCTCCTTTTTTCCCACCATAACTGAGGCTCCATCAGTACCCATGGCAACAACCTTGGAACGCCAGAGGGATCCAAATCTTTCATCCATGAGACCCGAGATAGCTCTGGAAATTCCTTCAGCATCTGCTTTATTTACATGCTTTAACCCAGCAAAGTATGTGAAATCCTGTGAAAAATACACTTTTATCTATTTATCAACTTAAACTTTCACATAATTTAAGCATATATAATTATATGACATGTCATGACATCTCTATCTGGCTCATACACTAGCCATGGAAACGTGGATCTCCACGATGTTTGGAATGTTCGAAATCTCTTTTCAGACTCATATTTTTGCTGAACCTCCTTCTTTTCTTCGCTTATTTTCCCCCGTGGGGACCCGGGGTGACAAGAATAGGTCCCCGGCACCTCCTTGCATGTCGTAAAAGGCGACTAAATGGGGCAACCTGTTGGCCGTGGGTTGCGACCTGTGTTGGTGGAGAAGGGGATCCTGGTGGCTGAGGTCTGCAGGTGCTGGGTGTAACGCACCTGACATGACCAACACTTCACTTTGGCCCCATATTCATCTAGACGGGAGGTCAAGTTTGGCCCGACTTGATCAATCGGCTAGTCACGCCGAGCTGATAATATCTGCATGCCTAAGTATTGATGTTTTGCAATTTTTTTTTTTATAAATATCGGATTCATTTTGCAATTTCCAATACAACGACGTTTCCATGTTGATATATTTATATTAACCGGTGGCTCAGGGTCAATCAGGCATATCATGTCTGAGTATAGTTTCTTTGTGTCCTCTTGGTGTCTGTCTTACTGGATATCCGTTTGACTAGATATCGTCCTTGTTGGCGCTCCGATGCGGGCGGGGAGCAAGGATTATGAACGTTTTTCATCTAACCATGGCTACTTCAAACTCAAAAAAACGTTGTTACCCATCAGGATTAGAAATTACTTTTAACGATGAACAGCTCAACTTTGTTGTAGAACACTGGCCTCGCTTCATCACGCTTTAAACAAAGCTATCAGATCAAAATTCAAAGCCTCTTACCAAAGTATCACCTTTTGTTATACAAAAAGGTACACAAGGAATTATTGGTACGCCCAAATCTGTAAAAAAGTTGAAATCTGGTGCTCTTCTTATTGAAGTTACCAAAAAACAACATTCAACTTCTTTGTTGGCTTTAAAAATGTTGGCAGATATCCCTGTAGTTGGAAAGGTCCATAGCGGACTCAACCAGAGCAGAGGTATTTTGTTTGACAGGGATCACGACCTGAATGGCATTCCTGAACAGGAAATCCAACATGAATTGGAATCCCAGGGAGTGATCTCTGTAAAACGATTCACAAAAAAGCGTAATGACGTTGTTGAACCAACAAACACTTACCTTTTAACCTTTTGTATGCAAACTCTCCCAATAAACATTAAAGTTGGGTTGTATCAAATGAAAATTGAAACATTTGTGCCCAATCCTTTGCGATGTTTTAAATGTCAACGATTTGGACATAGGCAAATGAATTGTAAAGGATCTGAAGCATGCTTCAGGTGTGGTGAAGAGGGGCATGACAGCAAAACCTGTCAAAATAAGCCAAAATGCAAAAACTGCAAGGGAGATCACATGGCGTCTTCAAAACAATGCCCGATATGGAAAAAAGAAAAAGAAATACAGAAAGTTAAAACAGAAAAAAAAGAATACCATATCCGGAGGCTAAAAAATTAGTAAACATGTACAGCGTTCCTAAACCACATTTAACATACGCAACTGTTGTAAAATCATCCTCTTTGAAGGAAGTATCTACTCAGGTCTCTGAGAAAGATTTTCTACAGCAGACCTCATCATCTGATCATGTAGCACCTTTGTCATCTGACAATGGTAAATCTACTTCATCACCTGCTTCTGCATGCCATGCAGCTGTGGCTGCACCAAAACCTGTAGCTACGGCTGCATCAAAGTCTGAAGCTGCAGGTAAATTAAAATCATCCGGAAGACAAAATAAATCTCCCTCAAAGAACAATCAGAAGCAGTCGAGAGATCGGTTGCCAAAAGGGGCAAACGACCTCGTCGCTCTTCACAATAAATTTGGGGCCCTAGAGGAAATGGATGTTACTCCTTGTCATTCTTCCTCGCAGGTCGGAAGTGTGTCACCCAATAAAAATAAAGGGAGGATATCTCCCATTTACTACAACAAAAAATAAATATGAATCATCCTATATTTATACAAGGGAATTGTCGAGGTTTCAGAGTTAACTTTAACCAATTATCATTACTTATTAAGGACCATTGCCCTGTAGCTTTGTTTACAAGAGACACATTTGAAAGAAACAGGTAAGATCAATATTAAAAACTATAGTATGTATAACCATTACGCTCAGACTGATAGAGCATCAGGCGGTACTTCTATAGCAATCAACAATAAATATATTCACAGCCAAATAAGTTTGAAAACAAATCTTCAGGCAGTTGCCGTACGTTTTCCCCTCGATAAAACAATTACACTTTGTTCTGTATATATACCCCCAAACTATCAATTACAACCTTTAGAACTCGCAAAATTAATAGAACAACTCCCTGCTCCATTTCTGATTGTGGGTGACTTTAACGCCCATAATCCGCTATGGGGTAGCGATAAAATAACAGATAAAGGCAAAAAATTGAAGACGCAATATCTCATCATAATCTTTGTATACTTAATGACGGCTCAAATACCTACTTGCATCCGGGTAATGGTTCATATTCTGCAATAGATATAAGTTTAGTAGATCCCTCCTTACTTCTAGATTTAAGTTGGTCAGTACATGATGATTCATGTGGGAGCGATCATTTCCCAATCATTCTTAAAGTACCCAAATCCTCTGAAAATAACTACGTTCAAAACTGGAAATTTAACAAGGCTGATTGGACTAAATTTGAATACTTATGCTTAAAAAATTTCGGCTGAAGAGTTTGAAAACCATCCTGATCCCATTCAAAAATTTACTGAAATACTATTAAATTCCGCAAATGAATGCATACCTAAAACCTCGACAAATTCTACTAGAACTAAAAAACCATGGTTTACAGAAGAATGCAACGAAGCGATAAAAGCTCGCAAAAAGCAGAACGATTACTAGTATTTAATAGATTACCTACGTCAACCAATTTAAGCAACTTCCGTGTATTTAGAGCAAAAGCTCGCAGAACCATCAATTTTAGCAAACGAAAATCTTGGAAAAAGTTTGTTTCGAGTCTAAATTCACATACCCCTATTAATAAGGTTTGGAACGCAATAAGAAAAATAAAAGGAAAAGGTCATGAAAAACATCAACATCTTAGCGTTAGAAATCAAATTATTACTGATAAGAAGGAAATATCTAATGAAATAGCCAATACAATTTCCAGTAACTCCTCGACAAATAACATGAGTTCTAATTTTATAACATATAAAAATACACAAGAAAAGGAAACATTAGATTTTACATCTGAAAACAAAGAATGTTATAATGAACCGTTTACTTTTGAAGAGTTACAAAAATCTTTAGATAAATCTCACGATACAGCCGTGGGACCGGATCAAATCCATTATCAATTAATTAAACATCTTCCTAGAGAGAGTAAAGAGTGTCTTCTGCAAATTTTTAATACAATCTGGGAAGGAGGTCAATTTCCACCTTCCTGGACTCAAGCCACAATAATTCCTATTCCAAAACCTGGAAAGGACCATGCAGACCCTAATAATTATCGACCAATTGCGTTAACAAGCTGTTTATGCAAAACCATGGAACGGATGATCAATGAACGCTTAATATGGTTTCTTGAAACCAATAACATTCTTACAAATATACAATGTGGTTTTAGAAAAAAACCGAAGTACAACTGACCAGCTAGTAAGACTGGAGTCCTATCTTCGAGATGCTTTTGTTAAAAAAGAGCATGCTGTATCTATATTTTTTGACTTAGAAAAGGCATACGATACTACATGGAAATAAGGTATTTTAAAAGATCTTTATGATATTGGTCTAAAAGGAAATTTACCTAATTTTATGAAGGACTTTTTAAATGATAGAACTTTTAAAGTGCGATTAGGATCTACAGTTTCAGACAATTTTGAACAAGAAATGGTTGTACCACAAGGAAGTATCCTTTCAGTCACTTTATTCAGTATAAAAATAAATAGTGTAGCTGAAGTACTTAAAAATGATAAGCATGGTAGCTTATATGTTGATGACTTTGTTCTGTGTTTAAGTCTAAAAATATGAATTTCATTGAGCGGCGGTTACAATCATGTTTAAACAAAATTCAAAATTGGGCCGATAGTAATGGTTTTAAATTTTCTCAGAGTAAAACCGCCTGTGTACATTTTTGTTTAAAACGGAAAACCCATGATGGTCCACGTTTGCAATTAAACGGGAATCCAATTAAAGTAGTTAAAGAAATTAAGTTTTTAGGTGTCATCTTTGACAATAAACTTTCCTTTATTCCACACATAAAGATGCTAAAAGAGAAATGCTCAAAAGCACTAGATATAATTAAAGTTATAGCAAACACAAAATGGGGAGCTGATAAAAGCACTCTACTTAAACTTTATCGCTCTCTTGTCAGATCTAAATTGGACTATGGATGTATTGTATATGGATCAGCTAGGACTTCCTATATAAAGGCTCTTGACGCAATCCATCATCAAGGTCTTAGATTGTGCTTGGGGGCTTTTAGAACTTCTCCGAAAGATAGTTTATATGTAGAAGCAAATGAGCCACCTCTGGACTTAAGAAGAATTAAACTTGCTTTACAATACATAATTAAATTAAAGGCAAACACTGATAATCCTGCTTATGACTGCGTTTTTTATCCACAAAATGCACATTTATATGATAAAAACAAGAAATGCATAAAGCCAATTTGTTTACGATTTAAAAATTATATCAGAGATTCTGAACTACCATTAGATATAGTAAAAACTACAACTCTTTCTGAAATACCACCGTGGAAATTAATTAAACCAGTAGTTAATAAATCCCTATCCGAACTAA